AAAAGCCAAAACTGTTTGATTGAAATCTCCTGTTGCTAAACTGTAGAATAAAGTCTTTCTCTTCTGTATTTTCTTTCCAATGAATTTTAAATTTTTATTCTTAGCAGTGAGACAGGTTCAGCAGAAAGAGTAGAAGTTATATTTTTATCCAGTTAATAGTTTGAAGACCAACTTAAACTCCTCTGGAGCTGCATGGAAAAGCAACTAGAGACTTTGAGCAAAGAACCTATTTTAAGTTAAGGGGTTCTCACTTTGTTGTCTCTGCTGCCTGTCACAGTCTCAAGAATCAATTGAAAAGGGTTGGTTGAGTAATTTTGGGTTGGTTGTAGAAAACCTCTGTACCTTTGGATTGTCTTTGGAAATTTACTCGGGGACTAGTTTTCAACTGACCACTGTCATAAATGCTTTCTGTTGGGAGGTGCCACTACTCAGAATAGCACAAACTGGTGCACAGAGAAAAACTGCACTGGAAGATGTCACGTGCGTGTTTAGGCTCAAAGTAAATAGAGAACTGAAGGCTAGAGAAATTTTCATAGCAGTAAAAATCACTGCTGTTATAAACTCCATGTTTAATTTTTTAGGAAGACATGTCTGTTTCAGGGAGCAGCAAGAACAGGTTACCTTCAAGGGGGAGGACAAGTCAGGAGTCAAAAGTGACCTTCACAGAGGGAGGGTGCTCATCAGTTAGGCACTGTCCTACAAGGTGTGAACAGGATCAGGCTGGTAATAGTGGCAGGCTTCACCAGGACAAAACTTGTGGGTGCCCTTGGGGTTCTGACATAAGGATACTATAATCTGAGCAAAGCTGCCATGAGTCTAAACCTTACTAGTTATGCTTTCTGTTTATTTATTGTGGTATTAGTTTAACTTCAAGCCAGTGATGAAACATCTAAAAACTGATGACAATTTGCATTTGGATCCAAATACTCTTATCACTATGGGCTGATTACTTGAAAACAGCCTGGAATTTTGTGCTTTGTTGCATCCCTTCAAAGCAAATTCAACCCATGTGTCCTCAGGCAGGTTTGCAAATGGATGTTACTTGAAGGATTCTTGGTTTCAGTGGCAACTATTCATGGTATCAGAGGATGCCAAAAGCAGTACCCAATCCTTCTTATTTAAGTTGCATACTTCGTCACCGGGAATTTGTAAAAGAAAACAATTCCCATTACTTCTGCAACTCTTGAACTGAGATTATTTGTACCCCATCTGCTGACTCCAAAGCAGTAATTATCTAAGCACACTATTTCCTGAGCTATTGATAATGCTGGCAGAAACAAAAATGTTGTTTGGCATGACTAAAGGTATCTTTTAGCAGAGACATATTATCAAGGCCTTGATTTCCTATAATCAATAAAATTCTAATGTGCCATAGGTGTTTTGGCTTGATTTCACTAGTTAGGAAAAACCACTGTAAAGACAGCATATTACTGCATAGGTCTTGTTATATAAACTGTAGATATTAAACTGAAACAGATGTGTTGATTTCAGTTTGGCTCAAAACACACACAAGAAACCAGTGTTTGCCAAATGGAAAAGGATAAAAAGCAGTTGATAAAATGTTATTTTCATGCATCTGAGATAATTACAAACAGTAGGCAGTGAAACAAAATTAAAATCTATAAAGAATAAGCTGGCAGTAGCTGACAGTAGATGCTATGGAGCGAGGTAAAATCCTTGTCAGAGAACCAAGGCAGTAGACAAGTAGAACTATGTAAGAAAAAATTGCATTTTATATATGGCTTGTGACATAAGGTTTAATAGTAATTTATGATGACTTTCATATCTACAGAAGGTATTAATGGTTGTAACATTAGCCTTCTTTTTCAACTCTATCCATAGTATTTCACTTAATGACCTTGTGCAGTGCTATGTCTCTCATAAGTAAATACTTCTGATTCTAATTGGAATTTATTGCCTTTTAATTTGCAATTCTGTGTTGTTATATGATGGGACAAGTTTAATAAAAGGAGAGATTGATCAGTTTATTATTATACTAGTAGCAATTTTGTATACCTCCATCAAGTCTCCTGTTATTCTTGTTCTGTCTGGGTTAATCTCTCATCCAATATAAATCCCACTTTACCTCTATCTCTACTCTGAAATTCATCAATCTCTGCTTTATCTTTCTTGAGAGTGCGTCAACCACAACTGAGCTCAATATTACAAGTCAGAATTGATAATTTTTATATGGTGCTATATATTTCCTATATTGTTTCTATCCATTTTAAAATGCAGTATTTTAAAGGAATTCTTAAAACGTGGCATTTTTCTTTAAGGCAAGAAGTCTTCTTAGAAGTTCCAGTATGCAGAGGTACATGCAAATTGAATTTTTGTCTTTTCAAGAATTTTTCTTATAGCAACACTTTGTTTTCCTCAGGAGTTGAAAACTAATGAGCTCTGTCAAATTGGACAGCACTGTGTCTAGGAATTTGTTAGAGGAAATGCTGATTAGTTAGTGAGCTAAAACCATAGCCACAATTTGCTGTTGATGTTCCAAGGCAGGCAGTTACTGAGTTTATCTACAAGATAACTCTTAAACAGAATATATTTAGCTAGTTAGATTCAATAACAGGGAATCACATTTATTCAATGGAGTGGGCAGAATTATATTTTGAGTGATGGTCTAGGGAGAATAATAAAAAGTGTGTGTTAATGTTATTAGTTTAGAAGCAGCTATTTTTCTGAATTGGGGTTCTGAGTATGCTCACTGTGATGTGGAAGCAAGACAGTCAAGTATCTCAGTGTTTAAATAGGACTCAAAATCACCTGAGACTCTAAAGGAAATCAGTAGCAGATATGTTTCGAAAAAATTTAACAGGGACTTATATGCATCTTAAAATGGATAGATATGTGCTTGGTGCTGTAGACAGATCTGCCTTTCTCCTGTGTGTCCTTCATTTGGAGTACAGTACAAAACGTAGGTCTGTATGTCAAGTGTACTTCACTCTATGTCTTATACTGCTCTCACATGCCCTGCATGTACTAAATAAGCATGATGCTGGGGGTTTTTCTTTGCTCAGTGGGAACACAATAATACAAGGGTGCTTTTGGATTTACTGCTGCTCAGAAACTCGTGACTGAAAACTACTGTGTGTTCAGTATTTATCCAAACAGGATGGCACTATGTAGAGATATTTTTTAGAACACTAATGTGTTCTGTCTCTGATGGCTGCTCCAGCCACATCTCTGAAGGGTTTGAAGACTTTTAGAGTTTTATGATGGATGTTTTCCAGTAAGAGACATTTACATGATCAACTGTAAATGTATTAAGACAAATCTTATACTGAGTCAAATATGTAGTGTTACTGCTTCTTTCAGTGCTTGATCTACATTTTGACAATGACTACCTAATAAATTGATTATTTCACTTTGACCAAAATGTTATTTTATTGCTAAAATTTGCATTTCTATCATATTTATCAATTTATTATATCTTCTTTTCTAAATCAGTCTGAATATAGCAAAATAGGAAAAATTATTACAGAAATTTTTTTGGTTTGAATCAGCTGCCGACACAATTTTGTGCTAAGCAAACTGATATCATGATGAGACAATTCATTAATTGATGGTACTATAAAGCTTTCCATTCTTTATAATATTTAGTTTTGTTTAATAGAAGCAACTTGTGAGCAGCTGATCATAAGAAAATGAATGATGCCTAAAAGCTGTGTTGGAACAGTCATCCCACAGTCTCACATCTTTTTTTTTTTTTTATTAGATCTATAATTAATCATCACTTATACCAAATGTGTGTGACTCAGACACACTGACAGAGGGCTGATGACAAAACATGTTATTGTTGATGCTATAAAAGATGCACTATGAGCATCTTCCAAGGTTTGGAGAGCACCCCCTTGTTCAAGCTGTTTACTCAGTAATCACAAAATCACAAGAACTGTCTCAATGCACTCTTCAAAGCAATCTTTTTCTTAAAAAAAAAATTCTTTTTAGGATTAATACAGTCCTTGATGAAATTCCAGGAATACTTCTTTCCCTATTTGCTGGATATTTTTTCTATATTTAGGCAATTGGTAAGAGTAGCTAGCTCAGGTAAAGCAGCTGATCACCCAGGCTTCACATCTTTATTTATGTCCCTGAAACCCTGGAGGACAGAAAAGTCTTTTAATTGGTGACTCAACCTCAGTAGGAACATGCTTTTAGGAAATGAGGCCTAGACTGTTCCCTTCACACCGGGCACACTTGCTCTGGTTGCCATGGTAATCTGCTGGAGCATGCTAGGTCCAATGACGTGGAAAACAAGATGGCTTCCTCATTTGTTTAGCCTTAAGGAAAATTACAGATATTAACAAATCATTACAGGGCTAACAGACACTCTGAAGACCTGACCTAAATAAACAGCATCTTGTCAGATTGCTAATAGCTGCCCAAGTTTTACTTCTGTGACTCTCCTGAAAGTACTTAATGAAGGTTTTATTACCCCAAATATTTGCTTCTCTCTACCTGCAAGTAAAATCCTGTACTTTGAATGTTAGATGGACCTCCTGTTCAGCGAGGTGCATTTAATTTGTCAATCATTTGGAAAGATATTTAAATGTTAAAAAAACAACTGACACTTTTGTGCATATAAAACCAAAACAATGGGTTGTTCTTGTCGCTGTCTCCTGGGAAGGATTTTTTGTATTCCACAGAAAGCTCTTCCCTGGTGCAGAGCAGCTGGTATGCTCCTCATGGTGGTAGGGTGAAGTCTCAGCCTCCTTGGGGGTTGTGGAGGGTGACGTGTCTCTCAGAGAGGAAACATTCCATATAAACTTGGTGCTTTGAGAAGGGGGAAAGAGGAAAATTAAAAGCAGGCATGAAAAAAAAGCATACTAACAAATGAACCCATCTGTTAAAAATATAGGAGGAAGTGACAGCCAAAATCTGTAACTGAGATACAATGGTAGTAGGCTCATGTGGGGGAACCGCAAGGTCAGTAGAAGAAAAGATTACATCTTTCAAGTTTTTCCAGTTAAATGGTCTGTAATTTCAAAGCAGCCGATTTGTTGGTGCCATCCACTTCCTCAGAGTCTGCTCCCTGTGGAATGAAAGATGAAGGTGAGGAATTTAACAAGTTGCTGAAAAGAACGTTTAAAAAAACTTGTTTTGGTAAGCCTTCTGACATACCACATCTTTACTAGGGACTCCCAGTGTCCTCTGGAATCTGAACAATAGAAGAAAGCAATTAACAGAGAAAACACATGGGACAAGTTTACTGCTTCCTTGATTGAATTGTGTCAGTGACAGATACACATATGAAGGCACATGCTCCCCCTTCTAGCTCTGTGCACTTAAGTACATAACTGGGGAAACTATTCATTTGGCTTCTTTGCTAGTTTTAAAATGCAATTTTTCTTGTTTACAGTTTAGCCCAGGTGTTTGTGAGGTTTCTGGGTGGAAATGCCTGCATTGTTATCAATTTTCTAAACTGTAGAAAATACCAACACAGAGTGCTCCTTTTCACATCAAAAAAGAGCTGTCCAAGGACTGCAGGACCTAATTAAATGAGATGACCTCCCCACAAAAAAAAAAAAAAAAAAAAAAAAAAAAAAAAAAAAAAAAAAAAAATTAACCACATTCCAATATCATCATACTAATGCTGAGAATCTGAATTGTTCAGATTCTTATTATTTATTTCAACCATGATTCTTTCCATACCAATGAATTTCCTTGTTCTAAAATTCACCCTTGCAACTGAAATAACAGCATGAGTTTCAACTGTTTTTCAAGACATCTTGCAATTTCAGCAGTCAGAGGGCTTAGCAGAGTGAACAGGAAACATGGTGGATCTGGACCCTTAATAGAACCATCTGAATGTTGTTTATTCATTGTATTCTGGATGTTTTATTATATTAATATATTATGATACAGTACATCTTACACCAGGTATATTACCTGCATACATAATGACACTTGCACTTTTCCATTCATGTTGTGTAACAATTATATTAATTTCAAAAACCAGCAGTGGGCATTGTGACAGATTTATTTTCTTAGAGTACCAAGTTTACTTAGTCCAAGTATCTTTTGATAAAAAAGAGAAAATGTTGTGTTTGATTACATGCATTAGTTGTATCACTACTTCTATTCTAGAGGTCTCTAATTTTTTTTTAAAAACCCCCATCTTTTATGTGTGTCATTTATTGGGTGTAGCTGTGATAACATTGCACTGTGATTCTCTCTGCTCTGACATTGCAGATGTAAAATTTCTGATATGCTTTATGAAGCATCATGTTAATGTGTCATCTTTAATGATGGACAAGATTTACCAATTGAGTAGAATAAGAAGAATTCTGGTTTGGTCATGGGCGGAGTTAAACAAATTTGATATACTCAATTATCTAATCAAAGGTTTGGGTTTACATCTGAAATACATCCAAATATTGTATGTTCATATGGAAAGCTACAAACATCCTGGGACAAATTCAAAAGAATTTTATAAGAATTCTGCCATATTTGTCTTGGAAAGATGCAACCCTTGTCTCTAGATGTTCCTGTGGAGCATTTGTCTTGTGTCACTAAGCATGCTAAGAGGTAATGTAAACATGTATAAAGAGGGAATTACTCCCTGCATAGTTTCAACAGTGAAAGCTTGGTTCTGATTCATTTAGGCATAACAAAAAGCTCTAGGTGCACTATTATTTTCATTTTAAATGATTTGTCTATCACAGTATCATTGAGTTCTCAACCTTTTAGTTTTGAGAAAGCAAAATAGTTGAATCTTATTCTCAGAGCTTCAACTGGCTAATGGATGAAAATCCATTAGTTCTTGCAAAAAGGTTGGTTATATATTAAAAAAAAATGAAAGGAGAGATAATTTAAAAATGAATGGGGAAAGGATGAAGCTGAAGATAATGATATTAATAGAAGATAACGATTGAAAAAGGAATGTGATGATTTGAAAAATGTTTAGAAAATCATTCAACTACTTCTCATAAGGAGAGATGAAGTTGTTGGATATGGCTTTGTGCTGTTATACCTTGTAAATCTTTCCTGTGTAATGAATCATTCTGGTACAGAGGAGGTGTAACACATATTCTTCCTCTAATTATGCCATGCATTCATTCCTTAGTGCATTCCAGACCCACCGGACACTTGGGTCCTCGGGACTTTGTAGAACTGAGTATTGTGGAATGGGCTCTTAAAATCCTTGGATGATTGTAGCTAGGATGTCTGTCTGGAAGGGACAAACCCTGGCTACAAGTGTCTGATCTATGGACCATTGTCCTCAATTTGGGCCCACAGATTTGTCCTTTCCCTAGAGTCCTTATTGTAATTTCTTTTTTTTTTTTCCTTAGGTGATGGTACATCCTATGAAAAGAAAATATTGTTTATATATTATAAATATAAATATGTATATAGAGACATAAAACATTATAAGTATAAATATTATATATTATAAAATATTATTTCTATTGTGGAAAATATTTTTATATTCCTTGCATTTTTCGTCATACAGTGGGTCATGGGAATCAAAAGTTTATTTAAGGTCAGTTAGCAAAAGGCCACAACAGCAACAAATGATATGAAAAAACAGGGGGGAAAAAAGAGAGAAAGAAAAGAAAAAAGAGAAGAAAAATAAAGGAGGGCAAGGACTTTTTTTCTCTGATTCTGTCTGAGAAACTGATATTTTCTCTGCAATGCAGAAACAAGTGAAGGATGAAGTTACTTCATCACATGAGCATCTTTGGTGTGGGGGGTGGAGGAGGGTGTGGGAGGGAAGAAATTATTATGGAACCACTACTCAGAGCAGCCTAAAGCCTTTAACTAGTTGGGGATCCTTGTCCTGACTTATGCTTGGGCAGAAACAAATGAGATTTTCCACCCTGGGGGTCAGGTGGTAGCAGAATTTTGACTTAACAATCTACCACATCAGAGCCAGGCTCTGTTCAAACCAAGGTTAAATTCATCATGGCTTCTCTACTGGTCTTTCATTTCCCATGTGTATTGGGAAATTATTATCTTTTGCCATGTCCATAAGTAGATATTACCTCTGCCTGTATTTAGGAAATTCAAATATTTATTATTTCAGGCAAAGTAAACAGCAACAACTAGTTCCAATTTTAGGTCTTGTTATTATTGCCTCACCACTATTATAAGATACTCATACCTTTCCAAAACGAGTCTTATTTTAATTCTTCTGGTGTAGTTTCTGTCCCAGTGTGTTTTTTGCGTTATTATTTAAAACTTGAATATAATAGGTGGGCCATTTCTGAACAAGTCAGAGAAAAATTCCATTCTCTTTTGTTTCCCTTTTGCTGTTTTTTTTTTTTTTTTTCATTTCATTAAGAAGGAGATTTGAAAGGTGTCATTTGATATAAAAAGCCTTCACTAAGCAGCAATGAACCTTAGACTTTTGGAGAAATAAATATTTCCTGGGCTATGTGTAATTCTGAACTTTGGAATATGATCCAGTCATTAAGAAATGCATTGCAACTTAAAAACTCTAACCTCAGAGAGAGGGATAGAGTTGAAAGTAGTTGTGGAATTCTGGTGATGGTAATCTCTTTCTCTTCAAGGAATAACTGTGCAGACTTCATTTTACATTTTTGTCTTTTTAAAATTTTAATTCATGTCACTGAGCTTTTTCTCGGTCTTTGCTCTTTCTCTTAAGAAGTTATTCTCCCTTTCCCTTATTTGCCTAATGCCATGGTTTGCAACAAAAGCAAACCACTTTTCTTCTTTTCCCTGGTTATATCCTCTCCCCCTCTACAATTTATATTCATTTGGTTGTCTGCCCATTGTAATAGATGTATCGCTTGCACTCACTGCTGGATGCCAACTGCATGTGGACATTAGCCACTCTTCTTCTGACCAAGCCTGTTTGTTACAGATCTTTTGGTATTTACTCTTTCTGCTGGCAGTAATTGTGTTTTTAATTCCTTTGTTTTCTGTGTACACAAACACAGATTATTCAGAATCCCTTCCTTCTCTCTCCAGAGACCAATCTTCATAATATGCTTTCATTTTCATTATTACCTTCTCTCTCTCATTGTCTTGTGTCTAATTATGGTAGATGTTAGTTGTGTTTTCATAGATGGTTGCCCAAAACACCAGAACTATGTTTATATTACCATGGTCAGACATCAGCTCCTTTTTCCTGAGCGTGCAATTCCTCCCGTTTTTAAAAGCATCCCCATATTTCTGCTCATCTTCATGTAAAAGGCTAACATATGCCTCATGGATACTAACTATTGAATTCTATAAGGAATAATTTTTCTGAAGTCTAAAGTTTTATCAAAAGTAGTTAGAGCCACTACAACAGTCCAAGGAGGTTTTCTTCAGTGCAGGTCTTAGGGGATGACAAAGCAATCCAGTCTGGAGTTAAGATCAGGAAGACTTTAATTACTCAAGAGTGCAGAGATGGCCTTAGTTCTTGGTTGGGATTTTCTTGCTGGTGTTGTTTTTTTCTTTTCCTCCCTTCAGATTACTCTTGGAGACCAATGAAAAATGTTTGCTGACACTTTCAGGAAAAACAGCTGGGGTCTACTTCCAGACATTAAGCTGAGTATAATCTAAATATCCTATAAATATTCATGTTAAATCAATCAGTTAAACTTGGTGTGCATCCCACAACCTTTGCACAGAACTTAAAAAAAAAAAAAAGACTGGCTCAGTGCTTGCCTGTGTAATACTGGGTTGATGCTGCAAGAAGAGAGCAAAAAAACTGATTGCCTTGGATCATGAAGAAAAATTCTTCCTGGGTAGCCAGGGAAGATCTACACTGCTGTCAAGAACCTGCCTAGTCACAGGAATCTCCTTTTCAGCAAGAAATGGCCCAAAGGGAGTGATCAGTGTGTGTTGCTGATCTGGGAAAGTACAAAGTGTACTTTGGTTTTCATCCTACTCTGTCCAAAGTCAAATGCTTTTCTGTATCTATATTCTTCTACTTAAAGCACATCAAAAAGTTGCCACAGCTTTGCCTGTTGATGTCAGCCACTTTCTTTGGTTTCCTTTTCTGTCGTGCACTCCCTTGGGTCATCTCTGAGAGCTGAACTGTGCTTCTAACACTGACACACAAATACAAACATGGACAGTTTGAGTCATGTAGAAACCTTATGTAAATTTCAAGCCATGAAGTCCATTGAAGATTGCTCTTTTTTACTAGCTGGTAGTCTTTTCCCAAATAAGGATGACTAATTGTAAAATGCATTGCCCTTCCTAGCTGTAGACTTTGCTTCTCTGGCTCCCTTTGGAGCAAATATTTGGAAACTCTGATATGTGTCTATGTCTTCATTAGAGTTGCAATTCTAAGCTGTGTTGGAGGCAGTGATATAGTACAAATTTATTCAGAGCCACATAGAGGAAATTGTACAAATTGGTGAAATTTTGCACAGTAAGGTCATGATCTGCGCTTTGGCCATGTAGGAACTAGAATTTTCTGAAAAAGTTATGAGACAGAACTTGCAGGATTTGCAAACTGAGACCTGAAACATAGTGTTCTTGTGCAGTCTTAGAAGAAAAATAAGCCATGCACATTTTCAATCTGGCAAAAATTTAGCAATAAGATTAGAACACTTGTCTCTATCAAAGCATTCAGAAACATTTTAAAGTAAACAAATCCAGCTAGCAGCAAACTAAAGTTGATCTAAAGTAAAAAGCAAAATCCAGCAAAATCCTACAAAATATACTTAGTCCCTAGTTATTGTTAAATAATTTATTCTACTATTACTAAGTAATAATGGGTGCCAAATCCATATATATAATGCCTTAGGTTTGTATACTGTATCTATGTGGATTTGAATTTTCAAAATAATTGCATTTGGTTTATTTTATTCATGCTTTCTATATATACTCCTATTATATATGCATATATGTGTGTATATATATATACACTCATGTATGTGTGTATGTATATTATACTGAGGGAAAATATTTCAGTAGGAGACTTAAGGATTTGTTTATCTCACCAAAAGAGGAGTAAATGGAAGAAGTTTTTATTTTGGTTTTTTTTTCTAGAATCCTAATGAGTTGGATCTAATTTTTACAAATTCCAAGGCTGATCCATCATGCCAAAGCAGAGTTTGAGCTGATGAACAACTTCTCTTTAGATTCATGTTCGCCCTGAAAGGTTTAGCAGTGGAGTTTCCAGAACTGCTAAAGTGTTTGAGAAGCAGAAGTCTTATTGAACTTGATGGGATTTATCAATACCCTACTAAGATGAGTGATGTTTTACATCTGACTGTTTCACAGACAACCTCCTAGAAAAACTGGAAAACTGAGTTAAAAAGGGATGCACTCTCTTCCACCAGGAATACGCCCCCACTGGAGGGGCTTCCTGTTGGTGTCTGCCAAGGAGCATAAATAGGATCCAAAGGGCTGGTGTGAGAGGAGGCTGCTTTAGCTTTGTATATGTAATTTGTTCTGCCTGAGAGCCACTTCTGAGAAAAGGAAAGGCATTTCCTTTGAAAAATAGTTTGTTTTGGGTATAACACCAGAAAGTGTGTATTAGACAGTTATTGTTTAATATTCCTAGGGAGAGTAAGGATAGTAGAGTAAGGTAATGGCTTCTTCTGTAAGTATGTGAAAGCTAGAGGTGAAAATAATATCAAAGTGGTTCCTGCTAATCTGTGAAATATGAAAGCCTGTTTAAGAGTTTTGCTTAGGAAAGAAGATTGATAGATCTCTTAGTGCTAGATGTATTTTTATTTAGAGGAGAAAAAACAGAAACTTCAGCAGTTAACTGACACAACTACCAGAGAGCCGGTGGGAAAGAGGAAGACAGAAGAGTAGAAGGAGCTTGAACTGATCTTATTATGTGGGAAAATTTTAAAGCCTCAAAATAGGAAGGAAATGTTACCACAGGAAGGAGGAAGTAACTGGCTGGTGCAGCTTTGCAAAGCTGGCTGTGAGATAGACATACTTCATGGCTTAGGTAGTGCACACTAGCTGGTTGTACTTGGTTTTCCCTTCTCCCTTTATTAAAATATTGTTCTTGCCATTGATTAAAATTTGCAGTTGTGGATAATTATTTCACTGAGCACCAATCTTGTCTTTTGAATTCCTTGGTGAGAGGCTAACCTTGGGTTTCACTGGGAACCTGAATTCATATGGGATCAGTCCCTTGCTGCCAACTCGAAGGAGAACAGCTACACAGCATGACCAGCCTTACCTTGCCTGCTGTTCCTGGGCATAGCAGGCTCCTGAGCTGGGTGTATGGGATGTACTGAGGCTGTGCCCTAGGAACATGGCAAAGTGGATCAGCTACATGCACCTCAGGGTGGCAGAGGGGCAAAGACACTGTCCCACCTGCCTTTGAAAATGCAGCCCTGGGCAGGACTGTGGATTCTGTTACTTGCTCTCACTCTTGTGAAAAGTCTCCCTCACCAGTTGTGATGCTTCATCCTCAGAGACCTTCACACCCTTATGTTTGCTAAGTAGTGGAGATATCTGGGGAACCTGAGGCATGCTGTGATCTGTTCCACATTTCTGCTCTGCCACCTGGAAACCAGAAACAAATGGAAATGAGAGATGCAAAGTTTTTCACCATAAAACACTGTGGGTGCAAATAAAAAAAAAATGTAAAATTTTTCTAGGAACATTGAGTTCTCTGCAAAGAGGATATTAAAGTACTTGTGACAAGGAGAATGGACAGGACCCAGTTTGTCAGGAGTTAAAACTGCCTCAGTCAGCTGGAGGCTTACCAGCCACTAGCTATTAGGATAGTCATTTCCCCTCAGGAAATACCTGCTGGTGTATCAAGGGTAATTGCTAGCAGTCAGCTGTATCCCCAGAGGGTGGGTATATAAAATCATCAAGAAAAAGAAAAGACTGAACTGCTCCTAGCAGGAGGCAATAGCAACTGTGTGCGTGTGTGTGTGTGTGTGTGTGTGTGTGTGTGTGTGTGTGTGTGTGTGTGTATCTTGGTTGTTTGTCTTAATGAAGAATCTTAATGTAATGTAGGCTTTTGTTTCAGTTTTAACCCTGGATAAACTCACCTTTGGATTTCTGCTGAAACTTGAATTTTACAGACTTCTTTTCTTTTCTGAAGCCACCACTTGCAACACTGGCTAGTTTGTCACAAGTATTCTTCAAAAGTAGATAATTACAGCTTCCTGAATGGCTTGGTGTTACTATGTGGTTTTGTTTCTAAAATACTTGAAATAGAATTCCTAAGTGACCTTCACTTTCTTATGCTCCTGCCAATCTTACCTCTCACAACAGGAGTAAAACCCCCTTGCTTTCCTGAGTCTTAGTTAAATTGTCTGTGAAGCAGGTAGATCAAGTAATGTCTAGTGGTTACCCTTTAAAGTTCATTCTAAAATTTACAGCATTATAAAGATTAAAAACAAGCCAAAATTATAGAAGCACTTGTGCAGTCAGTTTAAAGATTTGCTCACTCTCCTGCCTAGGAAGAGGTCTCTCTGGAATATTGCATCCATCAGTGTTAGCCTGTCAATTAAAATACTCTTTGCCTCCATACTTTCTGCAGTAATAAATTTCCCAGAAGTGCAAAGAAAGCCAGACACTCAAAATAGGTCATCCTACCTGATCCTTATCTCTTCATTTGGACATATTGCCACATAGCCAGGCTTTTTGTCATGCTTCCTGGGCTTTTTCTCTGCTGTCCAAAAGAATACTCCGGACAGCAAGTTGTTTACTTGGCTGTTACCTCACATGGAGGCTCTCTCTGCCTCTCCATCTTCTCTCTCTCCCTCCTCCCCACTCTCACAACTGTTGCATGTGTGTTTGAGCAGGATCCACTGCTTCCTTGCCAATGGAGTGAATTTGTCAAACATTCAAGTGAGCTTCCCTTGGTTGAGAAGTTAGGTGCCTGATGTAGTCAACACTTGCATGGTCTCTGAAATGAATAGTAAAACCTGTCATGATCAGATTGTGAACTAACCACAGACTAACATGGTTTTTGAACTAGAGTAAATATCAAATATGCAATAGATTTAAGAGAGTTCATGAGACATTTTCTAGTAAGCCACAATTGGGGAAAAGGAATAAATTGATGAATAAACTATTCACAGTACAGTTGTTTCACCAAAGCAGTTTCTCTGCAGAAAATGAGATAGGATTCAGGAATAAACCATCATTATTTACTCTGATTTTTCTTTCTTGTGTTTACTTTCTGAGATGAGGGAAAATATCTCCTTTCAGGCTACTGTGGTTGTCGTAGGAGTAGTGAAGTCTTCTCTGAACACCTTCAGCTACACAGTTTATAATGAAATCTTAAACCTTTGCATGTACATGAAGGTATGTCAGCTTCATTATTCTAATTTCCAGAACTCAGCAAACCATGAAGCTGAATTCTGGAAGAGTTATTGATGATAAAGTTAAAACCTGCAAACTAGTAATAACATCTCCAACACCCCCCCTTCCCAAAACAATGGGGAAAGAAATACCTTCACATCCAAACTGTTCACATGATGCTACTTTTCCCTTTGTTTAGTATACTCTTCCTGGGACACTTTGTAGGATGATCGGAAGAAGCTTGAGGAAGGCACATGATTTGATTGCCTGGTTAATTTCCAAAACACTGTGTTAAAACTCTTAGTTCATTGCCTTGTTGCCCTTTGTAAGTGGATGGGATCTATTGATGGGAAGAGATGAAGTCTCTCTGCAACAGTGCAAACCTTTGTGAAAATAGATCTCTTTATAAATGGCCCAATCCTCTCCCTGAAAAACAGATGCCAGAAGCAGTTGTGGGACATTATGTTTCAGTTCTAGAGACTTCCAGTTCTAAGAATAAAGTAAAGGAGTCATTATTTATCCAAACAAGGCCTTTATGCTATGGTTCAGTGGCTGCTGGACAGCCGTGTGATCTGTCTTGTGTAATGCCCTCACCCCCTCCTTTGCCCGTTTGGAAAAGAGAAAAAAGGACTTGTACTGGCTCAGAACACGCTCACACATCTCACTGTCCATTGTGCTCTGTCCATGACGGTCCATTAGATAAGCGTGGCGCTGGGCAGGCTCTCAGCTGCGCGCCCCATGTTTCGCAGGGAATCAGTGCGTCACCGACTGTGTGGGATATGTTTACACGGACGTGGTGTGCGCCTTCTCCTCAACAACACACAGCTTCCATCACAAAACCCCTCCCTCTGAGGGAACAGGCGGGTTTGGAAACCACAGACTTTTATCTTTTGTGATGGATTTTTTTCATGCTGCTTCCCAAAATAACGCCTTGTATTTCTGTGTCTGAGGGTAAATGAAGTGAGATACAGATTCCTGATCTTTCCCTGCTCCTGTAGGAAGCTGCATTTTAAATACAAAAGGAAGGAGGCAGCTGGCTGGATGCATATTTTCTGTGTGTTACCGAGTCTGTCAAAGTTTCTGTGTATATGAGGCAGCTGACTTCTCTCAGGAGCCTAGTGGTCAAGCAAGTTACATTTTACAAAATAATATGATTTTTTCAAAAGTGACTTAGGCACTTCAGAGCCAAGATCTCTTTATTTGATAATGGGGCTGGGACTTATCTATTCAGGGAGGCAATACAGCCTTGCTGCCTTTGGTGTTGACCTCCTGATATGTACACAGCCCAACACAAAAGCTCCTCTTGTACTTCTGAAAATGTCACCCAAAGCACATAGTGCTCTGAAAACCACGTTTTGTATAGGGCTAGTCCAGGATCAGTGAGCACAAACTTGCAAAGAGCAGACAGACTCTGCTCTGCCCTCAAGGGAGGGTTTGCCAGTGTGAGAGGGCAAATAATCAGGGGCAACTTGCTCCTTGATTATATAGTGCAACAAACTGAGCACTGAGACTGTCTAAATTGTGAAAACTTAGGTGGTCTCATTTTGCACATGGGAGAGGGTGTGGATTTTTATCTGGGCCCAAGTTAATGGGCATTGCAGCAAAGCAGGAGCTCAGCATGCCCATTTACTGGCCAAGCCTGTATTGAGCAGATGCTGTGACCAGCCAGACCACGGGTACTGCAGAACAACAGTGACCAACCCGAGGTGACCATGGCATGTTTCCTGCTGGGTGCTACATCAGCTGGACACAGGGTGCATGCTCACAAGTATAAAAATTCTGTTGGCTGCTCTGAGGCTTCTTGAACAATGACCAGGTTGTGTGGTAATGCCCCAACACAAGGTAATAAACTAAAGTGTCCATTAACACACACCTTACATGTATCCAAGTACTTGTTTTAAAACACTCAGATTGCAGCCTTCTATACTATACTACACATCAAAAAATGCTTAGAGCATGATGGTTCATTACAACAGAATGAGTCCAGTGAATCATTCATTCTTAATAATTTTTTTGCTCTATAATTGTGATGTTATTAACAGAACAACAAAACAATTCAGCAAAACCTTTAAAAATTTCAAAGTTGTTCCCATGGAAAAGAGCTCAATTTTTCTTTCAAGATTTTCTTGGCAACCCATGCTTATGATATTTTTAATTAGCATTCTAATATAAAATGTACTAGTTACAGTATTTTGATTTCAAAGTATTGGTAAATATGACAACCCACATAATGTTTTTAATCTCTCCTTTATGATTAGAATCACAAGAATTCCACAAGAATTTATTGAAATGGAAAAATGTTGGCAATGCCAATACCATCTCATGAGTATTTTAGCCTATATTTGGCATTAAAAAATGGATACTTTAAAAATTTGATAACTGTTTATAGTGTTCTCAGTTTTGTGGACTACCTATTTTACCTTTTCCCCAACTGAATCCTTTTGAAACCTGGAAAAGCTTTAATGCTTGTATACTGATTCTCTTTCCACTGCTTTACTACTTCTTGAAGAGTGCTAAAGTTAGCTTCTTTACCACTGAATCCTTTTGAAACCTGGAAACCTGGATTCTCTTCCCACTGCTTTACTACTTCTTGAAGAGTGCTAAAGTTAGCTTCTTTACCTGAAATGTCCTACTGCAAGATTTCCTTTATAGTGTCATGAGGAATCATATTAATAGCATGCCTTAATTTCCAGTAAAAACTTTGATCACAATCGCAGATTTCAAAAATCAGCATTTTAACTTGGTCTTATTTCCTGATACTCATATTTTTTCTCATCCCTTCATCCATTCTGCTTTTGGTGTCAAAGTATGTAATATTTTTTCTGGTGAAGGATTAATTAAAACTCAACAAAAATAAGAAAACATTACACAAGTACATACACAGTGAAATTCAATTTGTGGTTGGAATGGTGCATCATTTACACAGTAGTCCCAAAGAATATAGGGTGTATTTTGGACATTTTTGGCTACCAGAAAACTTCTGGTAGTTTGCATTACTGTATTAGATGACTTTGTTTGGACATTTGCACCAGTGAATGAAGCTGAGCATGAAAGTGAAATCTGTTATTTATTAAAAAACTCTAGGTATACCTATATCCAACCTGTTTTACTTACATATTCATTTTACTACATAACCACCTAAAGTGAATTTGACTTATAACTTATTTTTATATTAATTTTTGCGTTATTTTTAATATACATGAAATGTACAATTATATTAAATATAAAATTATATTAATCACATTGCAGGTATGTGAGTTAGGTGCCCCTCTGAGTAGGAAGCCTAATAAGAGAAATGAGAACCAGACCTTTCTAGCAATTCTAGGTACTTATCTCACCTTGTCTTAGGTAGTAGAACATCATCCAGTGCAGCAGCACAGACTCTGCCAGGTCTGCTCTGCTCCCTTCTTACAAATGTCATATAGTGGAGAATTTAAAGACAGAATCGTAGAAAGGACAAAAGAATGAAGAATGGACAGAAAATGTGAGAAGAGGGTATCCTAGTCTAAGAATTAAAATCTCATTTGGCCTTGCTTTTAATATAGTCCATGTATGATCTTCCATTCATTCAGAGATGTTTGGGCACACTGTTCAAGCTAGAGGGACCCGCTTCCAGATTCCATCAAGTGATGATATCTCCAAAATATCTCCAACTGGGCACTTATTTTGATCTTATCCTCTGATTTACATTTAATTAGATGTTTCTGATGGTGTGTTTTAAAGCAGGAGTTATTTTAGGCAGACCACTCTTCTCAAGGGCAATTAGCACCAGTAGTCCTCTTCTAACTCTGGCTCCTTCATCTGGCCTCCTGCAATGGTTATAAAGTTTAGACAGGGAAGAAAGCAGTCACACATGAGAAATAACTCAAGTGTAATCCTCAGTGAAAATCTATTTGTACAGAATGCCTATTCTCCTTGCATGCCTCTCTGACAACAGTATATCACTACGTAGTAGCAGCATACAGGAAAGCTAAACTGAGTCATTCACGCACAGGAGATATGCAGTCCTGACAGAAGCAAGCAATCTAAAGTGCTAGTGTACCTATGTAATCAAATAGTATAAATCTTGTTTCTCCACAGTAATTTGAGTGAAGAAAGGTTCAACTCTATATGCAAATACATTCCGAGTATATGATTATGTTTAGATAGAAGTAGTCAGTAAAAATTATATTATTTCTGGTTTAGACATCAAAACAAGATTTCTTCTGAGCATTAGGCAGTTGGCAGCTATTCCAATAATTTCTAATTTGGTTATATTCTCACATGATAACACATCCTGCTTTCATACAGCACATTTTCTTTAGAGCTGTCCAAAATTAGCATTGCTCATTAAAATAAAATAAGGGTAGAAAGGGCAGTAGAGTGACGGGGTGGTACAGTGGCATATACGAGCCAAAATAAATTATAAAATATTTTCTTCTCTTTAAGTTTATGAAATATTACATTGGCACTTCGGTTCTCAGCATCCCATCCAGTTCCCACCTTCCTAGACTCGTATGGGCACACACACCCTTTTCCTTGACATGCCAAGTGAAGATCAGCAGCAGAAGGAAATTTTTGTTTCATGCTGCAAAATCTACATGACCACCATGGAACACTGACCAGAGCTAGTATGGGATTGTCTGCAAAGGTGAGTAATAACATCAGGAGCATAAGAAGCCTGGTCTGTTTCAGTGATAAGTGTAATTTATTACAAATGCTGTTGATTAAAGGTAAAATCATAAAAGTGAAATAATAAATTGCTTTGATGATGACTCTAGCTACAGCTGTTATAATTCTGGGTGGATCTGCTGATCTCCTGAGTCTTTTTCCTGGTGTAAGCTGCTCCTGTGTGCCAGTGGAGACCAAGTGTTTGATGATGGTGACTGTTCTCAAGATTGATGCTTTCATCCAGTTTAAGAGGAATGTTTTGTACAAATATCTGCAATTGGATAGGGAGAGAAAATGTTTGAGATATTTGGGAGAAAAACGCTGTTTATTAATAACAGCCACTGAAATACATTCTTCAGGCCAAAAAAATATCAGAATCTCAAGTGCATAAATTCATCTTCTGTGCATTTCTTATCGTACTAGAATGTGCACCATCTTGACTACAGCATATAGCTGTGTACTCTGGTGTGGAGCAATATTTTGTGCAAATTAAAAATTTCAGGATTTGACCTCAGGAGAGTTTTTCTTGACTGAGGACTTTGAGATCTCATTAAAAAAGGCCAGTCATTTGTCAATAAATTGTCATCTTTCATCAAATAATGTGTTTGA